GTTGTGTATTGTTCTGCGTTTTGGGTCCAATCCACCTGCGCTCGCAGCGTGACAGTTATCCTAGGTCAAACCCCCTTTCAAACCCAGTGTTTACCTGCAGTCACACACCTGGCATGAATGAGTGAGGCATCTGCATGGTAATTCAAATTGGGTTTGAATGAAGGCAACTGGACTTTTTTTGTTTCATGAATATAGGAGGGTCGATCTTATTGTAGCTGTCTATTGTTGCTTGACAAGCAGAACTGTCACCTGCAAAACACCTCCTCCCTACCTCCTCATGGTTCGTTTGCATCGTTAGCCTCTATTGTGTGGGAGTCGTGTTGATTAGATGCAGAAAGGTGTGATGTCATGTTACTTTCTTGTAAATATGTATATAGTTTTTCGTCTTCATTTTTCAATCTTAACCAAAATATGAAGTAATGTGTTTGTACCCTGGAGTCTGTGGTGAAGTGATGACTCTCAAAGTGTTCACTGCACAAGCGGGAGTGTGAATAGGGAGTCCAGCACTCTATTCTTTGGTTGCTTACCCAAAGGTCAAGCCTCTCTGGATCACCTAGAGCAGGGATTTCCAAAGTGTGGTGCGCGCACCCCTGGGGGTGCGCGAGCTGCCGCTAGGGGGTGCGCAAGGTGAAAAGTGTAATGGCTGCAGAGCTCAGAGAAGTCTGTCATATGTCACCATTAGCGTAGAAACTCATTTGTGGGTGGGCCAAAGAAAAAGTAAGTGGGCACAATAAATGTAATTGAAAACAAGTATATTTTTGCGCGCGCGCGTGTCCTCCGCGTGTGCCCTAGCTTCATAATAACAATGCGCCGAGCTTCAGCACTCTGGCCTGCGCACGCTGATATGTTCCGTCGCGCGCGCGCGTGTCCTCCACATGTGCCCTAGCTTCATAATAACAATGCGCTGAGCTTCAGCACTCTGGCCTGCGCACACTGATATGTTCCGTCGCGCGCGCGCGTGTCCTCCACATGTGCCCTAGCTTCATAATAACAATGCGCCGAGCTTCAGCACTCTGGCCTGCGCACGCCGATATGTTCCGTATTTGATCATTTTTAACGGTGTTGAAGAAATCTGAAGGTGGTGAGTCATTCTGGCAGATTGTAATGAACACCTGTCTCATGCAGGTGTTCTGACGTTGTAAACCTCACACACAGAACATTGTGGATGTAACAAAATAACAAGAAATGATTCCCATTCAGGCTATTGACAGCACGCTGAAGATCTGAAGTTCAGAGTGTGTCTGTCAGAGGTCAGACGTGTTCCGGCTGAACCACGGCTCACGGGTGCACAAGTGAGCACATCTGGGCTGGGCAGAAGTCATTTTACAACACTGGTTTAAATAGCGCGAGACGCGGTGACTTGAGCGGCTGTGCCGCGCGCGTGCGAGCGCACACACACACAGATTCAATAAGCGCACACGCTGCTTTAACTCCAGCGCGCCGTCAGACTGAAGGCAGAAATTAACGCTGCCTCCACCACGATAAAAACTTTTAAGAGGTTATTTTTCATTCAAGGTCAAATTAAAATATTAGCTTCTGGGATGAGTCGGGTCCGCTCCAGCCCGTGACTCCTCATGAACCTGACCACATCTCATGTTACTGCAGCATTTGTTATCCCAGTCAGCGTGGCAGCGGATCGCAGATTCAGCCACACCATAAAACAGCAATAAGTCTGAGGTAAAAGTGAACATCATGGCTATATCTTGTCCCCTATTGACATTTGATTACGCACAAGTAGGTGACCAGCTCAGGTTTACGCAGAGCAGAAGGAAGGAGAGCGCTCTGGCCGCACAGGTTAAACGTTCCTACTTTAAGAAAACTGTTAAATTGCATTGTTTATGTGCTAGCTGGGCACTCTAAATATTTATTTAAAATTAAATCAAAGGAAATTGTAATGGTATTGAATGTTTATTAATTACTATTTAAAAAAATGAAAGTGATGGGGAATTTTTTTAACCCTGTCTGTTTAGCTTGACATCTGATATATATATATATATAAAAAATATATATATATATATATATATATATATATATATATATATATATATATATAGAGCCATGCCCCGATGTGGGGGCTGGGGGGGGGGGGGGGGGGTGCGTCGACATGGTCGGGACATAGAAGGGGGTGCGCGGCTAAATAAGTTTGGGAACCACTGACCTAGAGGAAAACTTCATACAAAGAACTACTTAAGCATATAGGTTTAAAATACTTAATAGCTTATCATGGCCTGTAGTAGGAGGTCTAAAATTAGGATAAAGAACAATACAAAATACATACTTTATAAAAGAAATATAAAACCAAACACTTGAGTCGATCGCCTTGTTGGATAGGATATGAACCTTTTAATAATCAATTTTATTAACTAATTTCCTTTTTATTAAACAGCACTAGTTCATGAGAACAGGGCACCTGGTCGCGGCTCTTTGTGGACAAATTAGTTATTTAGTTGCAATTAATGCCACAGCAAGTCATTTTGTCCAATAATTGCACAAATAATATCCAAAAAAGAATACACAAACGCTACAACTACTGGTGTAATTTCAGAGACTAAAAATCGCAGAAAAGTTTTCAGGCCAGACCGAGGCTCTACTGAGGCCTTTCCACGGAGCTAGCTCTGTGGTTACGTGGGTCTGATGCTCATTAATTATACAGAATTTTAGGTTTTTAATACACTTAAACAGAAGAGTGAGAAAAAAATTCACCCCCCTCAGAGTTATCATGAGTGTAAACTAGATCATTTAAACCAAAAACATGTTTTGGTACCAGGCTGTAAACATGTTTATTTCTGCTATGAAATTAGTATTTTTAACATGGGAGTCAATGAGGATTTGCAATTTGTGGTACTTCCGGGTTGGGCTCAATTTTTCACCCGCATTGTGGGGGCTTGAAGTGATGCCAAGCCTGCCTTTTTTCAAAAATGATTGTATTCGTTTTTGCAAATCCCTTAAACAGATAATTGATATACAGGCTGTTGAACTTGTCCGTTTTATTGAAGATCTTTTGAACTAAAGCCCTCTGCCTGTTACTTTACTTTACATTACCTTATACTTTATTATTTATAAATCTGGTTATTTCTGCTGCTTAGACTTTTTTCCAATTGTATTTGATGAAAGTTGTTGGTTGCCTACTGAGTTTTATTGTTTGTTATTGTTTGTTATTAAAGTGTAATGTGATTGATGTTCAATAAAAAAAACTAATAAAAAAACCTGAAACACACCATTATTTTCACACAAACCTTAAATACCCCCCCCCCTCCACACAAACACACACACACAAATAAGCCCGTTAAATGCCCCACTGACAAGCATTCATTTTTTTGTTCTTCCAGTATCTGACAGTATTTGGAAGAACTCTTCTAACAAAGATGGAATCCAGACCGATATACCCTGCTCAATCATTGGCCATATCTCCTAAAATTATTAAAGAAATAAATAAAATGAATCTTGATTTGATATGGAAGAACAAAAATCACTACATTCGAAAAAGTGATTTAATTAAGAATTATGAAGATGGTGGTATAAAAGCAAGATTTTGAAATTTTGAATGTAGTATTAAAATTAAATGGCTTAAATCCTTCTTCATAAATAGAGAGGAAATTTGGCATACAATTCCAAAATTTATATTTGAAAAAGTTGGAGGAATGGAATTCCTATTAAGATGTGATTTTGAAATCCCGAAGTTGCCTCTCAAACTTTCCGAATTCCACAGACAAGTCCTCTTTTTTGGAAAAATGGTTTTCAAACATAACTTCAGCCCACATGATGTTCCGATATGGAATAATAGAACTATTTTGGATAGAACCAAAACCATATTGGAATTTGGTCAGTGACATATTTTAGATGAAAATGGAAATATTCTTTCAGTTAAGAACTTCAATCTCAAATATGATGTTGATTTTTCTGAAAATGAACATAATAAGGTGATTAAAAATATCCCAAGTGCTCTGGTTCATCTAGTTAAAGCTTCTATCGGTTATATATTTAACCCTAGACTCAAAATATTAGCAGTTGATGGGATAGAAATTTTCAATAAAAAATGTAATAATATTTTCCTGAGAAACAAATTAAACAAAACCTTTTATCCAAACCCAATACTCCGATTCTCGTTACTACAAAACTTTTCAAAAGAAGAAATTAAAATTTTGAGAACTATATCTAAAATTCTCTTTACCCCCAAAGTATAAAGAAGTCCATTTTAAAACCTTGAATGATATTTACCCATCTAACCATTTTATACAAACTAGATTTAAGTTCAATGTGGAAAAATGTTACTTATGCAAACAAAACGATGAATCGACCAAACATCTTTTCTATGAATGTGATAAAATTTTAATGATGTGGAATTCTCTCCAGGATTGGCTGAACTCCAACCAAATTTATATAAACAATTTCATAGTTGAAGATATCTTATTTGGCATTATACTAAAAGATAAAAATAATGAATTTCTAATTAATAATCTCATAATCTTAACAAAATTTTTCATACACAAATGCCGATATCTCAAAAATCCACCTACGTGGAATAATCTCAAAAATGAAATTAAACTGCTGTTGAGATCCTTAGGTAAAATGTCCACCCCCAATGCTATAAAGCTTTCTAATTTCATTATGAACACTAATCTCTAACCGCTTTTTGGATGGTAAACACAATAGACCTTGTTTGCTCTTTAACTTCCCCCTGTGAAACTTTTATTTATATACACATGTAATGTGTTTTTTCATGCTGTCTTACTTGTATCCTTTCATGTTCTATTTTTGTTTTAGATTTTTTTTGTTGTTTTTTTTTGTTTATTGTCTTCTTACTATACCAAAATGAATTGCATCTACAAAATGCAGGTTGAGATGAACACGAACTTCGGAGCTACTCTGTAATGTCAATCTGCTAACAAATTTTGAAATGTAGTCGCTTTTGTTCGTTTTGCAAAGGTTCAATAAAAGTTCTTTGAAAAAAATGTTTTTTTCGTTTTTCCGGTGACCCATGATGCGGAAGTGACTTAGTCAGAACACCGGAAGTAGACGGGCTGACGTCACTGCCCCCAAATTCGAGATGGCTGCTACAACAAGACCCTCGGAACCTGAGTCACACGTCAAAGAACAGCCTCCAGGAGCTCTGCCGTTTGTCCTGTCTCAGCCTCCGGTCATCGAAGGTTTCCGTCAATCTCCGAAGCTCAAAGATGAGACCTTCAAAGAAAAGTTCATTAGGAAAACCAAGGAGAACCCTTTCGTCCCCATAGGTGAGTTATACAATCAGCCGTGGAGGGGAAGCTGGTTTTACAAGTGCTGTGTGCTTGTCCTCTAACATGTTGTGGCGGACTCGTAGTTTGGAATCGTAGGACGTCCAAGGAAGGTCCCACCTTTCCCCCCCGATTGGCAAGAAGGGCTGTCCTACGATTGGCTATTTCATTTAGCAACAAACCGTAATGCCTCGCTTACAGATCTCTCACAAACTGTTGTGGGGAGTCTTGTAAAGAAAATGGGAACTTAGCGCTATAATAACCATTCTGTAGCTGCACAGGTCCGACGACATAATGGCCACGAATAATACGGGTATCGTTTGAAGATTTATTCTTGCTTTTATCTTTCTCTTCTTCCATGAACACCGTGAAAACTATAAAGAACATTTGGCTCAGATCATGTAATTTACAGTTTTCTTTTTAGAGCCCGAAAGGTCTCAGATTCAGTGCAGCAACACAAGTAAAGAACTAAACATCACCACAATTAGTAATATTTACATCTTAAATAAATAAAAAACAGGATCTTAAACAGTTGCCGTGTGCGCCTTTAGAACCTCATGCAGAATAACCTTCAGTGTCCATAAGTCTTTCTGATGAGCACCTCAATATAACTGTGATGCATTCATGTGCACCGTAAACAATGGGAAATTACAGTTTTACACACAACTACACTTATCAACCTTCAACCCTTTTATTTTATTATCCTATGAACCTTTTATTCTTTAACTGCACACAGTAATATGTCTCAAACAAATTGTTTTTAGACTGTTACACATTCTGTCCGCCTGTTTTGCAAAATAGTTTTTTTTTTCCAGTTTCTTTTATTTAAAAATAAAACAGAAAAACCTAAAATGCAAACTTATAATACATCTTGTTGCATATCAAACTGCTGAACCTATTTTTTTTTTTTTTTTACCAGTTGGCTCTCAAGCAGATTATCTTATTAAAGCAGAGTGCATAGAATAAAACTTACCTGGGTATGATAACAACTGCCCTATTTTGCCTTGCTGTGTGCAGCAGGTCTGTTTCTCTTGCGTGGGTGACCCATGGTCGAGTGTCCAAAGTGTCCTTTTTCTGGTCGTCTGTCATACTTTACAGTCCAAAACTGTCATACTTGGATACAGGTCAGGTACTAGGACCTTTCAGAGGCAGCTGTTTTAAGCTGAAGCCTACTTTCCCTTAGACCCTCCCACAAGCTCACTGATTAGCTCTGCCGCATCATGCTGTCTCTCTAACTCTGTCACCATGGAGACGACTGAGACCGGTGTTTTGCTTGTCGGCAGGAGTCTGAGTTCATCTACCTGTAAGTTTTATTCTGCCTGCATCACGTCAGCTGGATGGATTTTAATATCAGAGCTTTTGTTTACATTAACATTTGAGTCTGTGGTTAGTGTGTGGAACAGAGTCAGGTAGCAGAATGACTGAGACAGAAAAGCAGACATGAGAGAGACTCCGCGCCATAACATCTGAATGGCTGATTGAATTAAAATAATTCCAACGGTTTATAAAAATACATACTACGAGCTTTCTAATGAGGTATTACATGATGTAATTCATGTTATTCAAAAAGAATCACTAGAGGGAAACCAGCTTTTCAGCATCACAGAAAAATACGGAGCGAACCGCGACGGGAGAGAAGAGAATGAAAAGGAGGAGATAATCTGCATCAGCAGCCTTTATAAAATTATGGAAACGCCACAATGAAAATGCACCTGGTTGATCAGGTGTCTCAGAAGGCTGTTTCTGTAGATTGTGACTATGAGGAGGGACAGATTACAATCAAACTTGTTTTTATTCAAGCAACACTCAACTATTTACTAAATGTAAGATTCTGCTTCATTCCAGCATTACTTATATTTACTATAAATATTTATTTAGCTGAAAATAGACTTTTATATCAGTGCAGTATATTATTAGTTGACTTTTTGTCATGAAATGTTTAGATTGTAGGAGTCGTAAAGCACTGGAGAAGAGCCCACGGTGAGATGTAGAAAAAACAGCAACCTTTAAAGAGCAAGTAACGCCTAAATCAACGTTTTTTAGCTGATAACCTGTACAGATGAGTGTGTAATGGTGCTGTACACATGTGTAATCATTAGTGTGGCAGTTTAGTGCAACTTACTTTAAATTTAATATTTCAGCCCAAAACCATAACTATATCTCCATCTTCAGGTTAAAAACTCTGCTCCACATTTATGTAGAACCAGCTGTGGCTGATGGCTAAGCTGAAAACGTGACGTTGTCAGCAAATGACTACGTGGCGGCACTGCACTGGTCTCCAGGTGAGGCAGCCACACCTCCACCTGGCTCAGCCACTCACCTGCTGATACGACACGTTGGTGCTCGCTCGCCTCCTTGAAAAAAAATGCCCTCCTCCTCTTTTCATCTAATGATCGTGTTTAACAGGAAGTCCTCCAGAATGCTGCAGAATCTGTGTCTGCTTTTCTCCTGAGCGGTAATTAGTCTTGTGCGAGTGCATGCACGCGCTCATTAACAACTCGTCCTTGTGGGGTCTCTCCAGCAGGCTCGCAAGGACGGTTAATGGCATGAATGTTATGTTAATGTTACCTAATATTTATGTTACTTTATGCCATTCTCTGAATCAGAGCATATACCAACCCAGTGGTCACAGACAGGGCTGCATTTAGACATACAGAAAACAAAAACAGTCGTACAAACTGGTAAACATGAGGCCAGCGTTTACACTTTTTTCTGAGTGTTTGCAATACAGTTCAGAGTAGAGGTCGACCGATGTTGGTTTCTCCGTTGCCGATACCGATATGAGGCAGTCGTGGTCAGCCGATAAGTGCTGCCAATTTTTTGGGCCGATATATCTCAATGTTTGGCACCTTATCTAAATGCTTAACGAATGCACAAGATTTATGAAGCTAATCAGTTTTTATACACAAACTTTAACCAAATGTTGAATCATAATTTTGTGCACTGCTCAGTAGTAAAATCAAACATAACAAGATTAATAAAAATACCAATAAACTGACCAAGTATTAATTATGCAAAACAGGCAAAAAATATCTGATAATGTTTCAGAGCATTTATTAAGCAGATGTTTTATAGGGATGTACACATCTACATGTAAGTAAAAATAGATGCACCTTTAGAATAGAGAGACAGAATTTACAGAATAATAACTGATGTTATAATATATAAAAATAATAATGGCAACATCTAAAGTTCATCCAGTCTTTTTAACTGACTATTTCATAACATCTTCATGTAAAACAGCTTCAGTATTAACTAACCCTTAAGTGCTCTTGACTCAGCAGCAGCATCTGTGTAATTAGCCCGGAGACGGGGAACCTTCAGGTTGTGTTTTTACCTTCTTCAGCTCCCAGCTCACCAGCCTCCTGCTGATATCACACCCTCCATTCCTTGGTTTGGTTCCGTGACTTGCTGCCATGCTGGATGTGACTTTTGTTGAGCCATCAGACAGAAACTAAGCAGGAGAAACAGTTGTTAGTGTTTGTGTAGAGCATCCATCTTCAGCTGAGTCTGTAGCAGAACGAGCAGAGGAGAACTCAGCACATTACAGTCTATATGATAAATATTAGAGAAACGTTTAAACAACGCCCCTGCTGCTGCCTGCCAGACTGCTGGATGGCACAGCCTTTTACCCCAGGTGTAGGTCGTCAGATGGATTCAGGTCAGCTGTACACATCAGCAGCCTGAAGGAGAGGAGGAGGAGCGTTGTCTGGCTGATTACTGGATCACCAGAGGCCAAGCTGGTGGCCATAACACAGAATAAAAAAACACCCCACAAGGTGTACTGCAATAAAACAAAGAACGGTGAGCTAAAAAAACAACTTGTGAACTGTGGAGAGCCTCTGGTTGAACATCCTGCGTTAAACTGAGACTCCGCTCCATTTTGGTCGCAAACCTCTGGGACCAAAGGCTCTCCTATTCTTTGTATTGAAGGAGGATTCCAGCAAGCATTCGCCAGGTCTATGGTAAAGATTTCTGTGCCCGAAAAAGAACGGGAAATACATCACAAAACTATTTGGTCAAGGTAAAAGTGTGAGAGAAAAATTTTAAACTTCACCTAAATGGAGATTATTAGGGCTGGACGATTCTGCAACGTAATCTAATTGCTAATTTTTTTCTTCAATATTGCAATTGAGATTTAATTCACAATTATTTTCTCAAGGGGCTTTTCTCATATTTTTCAACTAACATAAGCAAAAAATCTATGTAACTTGTACTGAATATAAACAAGTTAATGTATCTACATATTTATCTACACATCATACCAACGAGTTTATTTGTCTACATAGACACTCAAAAGTAAAGACAAAATAGTGTATTTGAAGGTGCACATACCTTGAAGGAGCAAAGGTATTAGCATTGTAGTATATTGATAATAGTGGTCTGTTGTAAATGTGTTTGTTTAGAGTTAGACAGCAGGGGGCGCTAGTCAATTGAGTTGAGTGCGTTAGCAGAGCATGAGGAAGTCCGTAGATGATTGTAGAAGATGTAGAGAGAGCCGAGAGGCAAGTTAAGCAGCGTTCCTGTAATGTTACCTGTCGAGGAGATTATTAAAAACCGTGAGACCCATTTTACTACGGTGGTTGGAGTTTTTTTGGACACTACACAACAAGAATCAACTGTGAAAATTCATTTGCAGAAAAGTGTGTCCCGTTTATTGAAGTTCAGTTACATCCATAGCCAGTGGCGGAGCTTGATATGTGCAACATGTGCGGCCGAACAGGGCGGCAGTCTGCAGGGGGCGGCATTTAATTTCCTTTTTTTTTTTTTTTTCTAAAAATATTTTTTTTAGCATCAACCAATACATAAACAAAACATAGAAATCGCATGTTCTTAATAATAATAGTGATGATAATAATATTTCTGTAATAAAAGCACAACAAAGTGTAACCCATATCAACTACTCCCTGTCACATGACCCACGTCAGCTGATGTGAGGTCCCTCTCCTGATTGGCTCCTTCCACGTCGCGGCAACCATGAAAGCTGCTCCTGCCGTGGC